CCATTGTCACCGCCTCGGTCACCGCGCCGTGGCCGGAGGGACTGCACCGGCGCTGACCGCCTGTGTCGTAACGCTGCGACTTTTCTGAGAATAGTATATTTCATGATGATGCCTTACGACGGATCGAAGGGACGGCACGGAGAGAAACGACAGGGGAGGTGGGGAGAGGGAACCGAGAGGGGCGCACCTGCCGCCTCCCACGACCAAGCAGCGCGCAGCGGCGCGACGGACGACAGAAGAAAAGTAGACAAGTCACTATTGATGGGCGGAAAGAATCAACACCGCCGCCACCCAGCAGCAGCGCAGCAGCAGCAGCGCAGCAGCAGCACCGCTGCGACAAGAACAACAAAAACGATTTTCACGGTTTCTTGGAGGAGCACCTTCGCTCCCGCCGGGCCGCCGGGTGGCAGCAGCGTGGCGTTCTTGCGTAAGACCAATCTAAACATGGGAAAGCTGCCGATGTCGCCCGGCCCGGCCGGCTCGCCTCGTCACCTCCGTACCGCCGGGGCCGCGGGTGACGCCGCGGGCCGAGAGAAAAGTCCGGGGCGGGGCGGGGCGGGGCGGCCGCGGTGGGCGGCCGGTGCAGCAGGAAACATCACATCACGAGGGAACTCCAGCGGAAAACTAGAAGAGGGCACCAGGCTATTCGCAGAGGCGACAAAGGTGTGCAGGTGTGCACCCGGTGTGCACCAGCAAGCTCGAGGCAGCCGGCGTGGGGCGCTCGCGGAGCTCGCCTGGACCGGGTCAGCCTGATGGGTACCGACAGGTAACGCCGAGTAACGGTGCCCGCCGTAAAGGGTACCCGCCGCGCCGGCACCCGAACGGCACCCGAAGGAGACCGGGTGAGTCACGGGGCCGACGACGCCGCCTGACGCACCGTGACCGGAGCGCGCGCCGGACAAAGGGCGGCTCGGCGAGGTCGGGCTGCAGGGCGGCGGTGTCGCGAGGGGAGGACGACGAGGTCACGAGGGAGAGCTCCGCTGTCACCGTTTCGTCACACGACTTCCTGGTCCAGTGACGCAGCCAGCCTCGACTCGCCGGGCCGAGCGAGTGTTCTGGGCTATCGTGACACCATCTTGACCTCTCCAACGTCCCCACCCCCGCAACCCTCTCCACCGCTGCGGCCGCAGTGGGCTAGGCATTGCCCTCACATCAGCAGCGAACAGACGCGGAGCGGGGGGGTGGGGCGAGCCTGGGCGGGGCAGGGCGGGGTCGACGACAGACAGTCCACCTAGCGTGACATCCACCTGTGGCGGGGCGGGGTGATGCCAGCGACCTTCAGGAGCCGACAGACACACCTGCAGCTGGGCCCTGCCTCCCCGCACGATAACCCCCGGAGTACAGCAAACACACAGCAGCCCGAGCGCACTCTGGCCATTCACAATTGGTAATGACAGCGAGAGATACGACCGACTGATGCAACGCCGCCGCCGTGCCCCGCCATCTGCTGCACCGGCCGCAGCCCGCACGAGCGCGACGCCCAAAAGCGGCAAAAATCAAATAACGGCGCTTCACGGCAAGAATAACAGAGGCCCCGCCCCCCTCTCCTCCAGGCTGCTCTCCGCGGCCACCGCGCACTCCCCGCCACCAACATGGAGGGCACAACACACTACTCGCGCGAGCAGCAGCAGCTGCTGCAGCGTGCAGCGCGCTGCGGCGGCAGCAGCAGCGGCAGGAGAAATGGGCACTTTTCGCAACACGTTATTCCTACGGAGCAACAGCGACAGCCAGCAGCAGCAGCACCTGGCCGGGCAGCCTTTTGCACAAGTCTTGCGCGCGGCGTGCCTCTGGCGTGCCTCTGGCGTGCAGTATCGAGCATTGTCTCGACATGATCCTCCCCCGGGCCGGGGTGGCGTGGCGTGGCGTGGCGTGGCGGCACGCGAGCTCCACCGGCGCGAATAAAAATGGTATTCCAATGTATAACGAGCAGCCTAAGGGCTCATTCATTCCACACACAAGTCAAATGAAAATAAAGAAAAACAATAACATTTGAAAAAAAGAAAGAACTCGTAAAAATGGGGAATTAAATACTGGCGATACAACGCGCAGAGCGGACCACACTCAGTTGTCTGTTTTTAGGTCCCTTCTATTTTGGAAAAGCAAAAACGCGGGCTTATCATTGTTTACGTTGAGTTTACGCATCGCTCATACAATTAGTGAACGTCCGTTTTATGGACGAGGTGAGGGGTTAGAGCGGTTGTGAACGGAGCTCACCCTCGCTCCCCGGGCACGTTCGCTGGTGGTCTTGTCAGAGCGTCGATTTTTCTGGGCGTTTTGACGTAAAAAGGGAGACAAGGGAACAGGGGGGGGGGATAGCGAATATATTGGTGTGGGAGCAGCTCTGGGAGCAGTGGCCGGCGGGGGAGCCTCACCTTGGCACACATCTCGCCGCCGTGCGCGCGCTAAGAGCGGCAGCAGCATTGGCCACGAGGTATAAAGATCGCCTGCGCCTCCATTTCCATGAGCCTGAAATGGCTTTCAAAATGAAAAGTGATAACGTCTCTGCTGCGCGGGCTCGACAGAAATTGAATCAAATCTCTCAGGATGGCGGCAGGCATGGCAAGAAAAGGTGAGGGGCAAAAGGAGGGAAGGGATTAATTCCAGTCCCGCCAAAAGTAGTTCCTCTCCTGCACACAGAGTGGGACTCGAACGCCTGGCCCGACTGGGCCGGACTGGACAACGAAGCGTTATTATTATTATATTTTCTTATCGATGCGACGATAAGAGTTCCATCGGCCCCGTCAGACGGAGTGGGGCGAGCAAAAGGGAGCGGGACCGATCGGGTTACCCACCGCCTCCGACCAACGCACCTCACTGGAGAGGGAATTCAAGTTTTTATTTTTATTTCTTGTTTTGACCAAACCCCCTAAAAAACAACTATACTTGGAAAACATTATCAATGGAAGTCAATTTATCTATATTTGCCCCTCTCCCCTTCTTCCACGAGGAGGCACGACAAAACAGCGATCTCGCACACACAAAAAAGATGTGGCTGTCGGCGCGCGCGGCGCGCAAGTCGATTTTTCATAACGGACCGCTAGCTTTGTATGCTGTGGCGGGGCGGGCCGGGGCGGGGCGGGGCACCTTGCGGGCGAATGGCACTCGGGCGGCGTGATGCTGCAGCGTCACCCGCAGAGGTAGGTCAGCCCCGCGCCGAGCCGAGCAGCACAGCGCGGGCGCCTGCACCCTGCACGTGCACGTAGTACAAGAGAGTGGTTGCAAACGATGTCAAACGGCTCAATAAGAGGCGTTAGAAAGGAAAAAACAACACAAAATGCCGTCGAAAAACATTCATTCCTCGATTCATGTTTACTCCTCCTGATCTCCTCCACTGTTATTCAAGCAAAGGGACGTCACATTTAATCAAAAGTGCATTGTGTCACGTATTTCTTAGAATATCATTACACATTCGTTAGAGCGTTCTCTTACCCTTGCCCCTCAGTCCTCACAGGGTATTGGCTGATGCGTACATATCAGCGCAATATACAAAGCGAAAGGGTTCAATTTCTTTTGCGCTCACGTCAAAATGCGTGTAACACAGAATAAAAATTGTGACACGAGTCACAATCTTTAAAATGTGACGTCACGGTAGTAAAAGTTATTCAGTATGTCTTTGTTTAAGGAAGGAAAGCGAGGACGAGGTACTTTCAGCGTCAACATGACCTTGACTTGAAACCGTTGGTACGCGCCACAATGGTGGTTGATTGATTCGAGTAACATTCTGGCCGTGGCGCGCCGGCGGCCCGACTGTGAGGTGAGGTCAGGCTCCAGGCCCACTTACAGCCTAAGGTCACCGGGTTGCGGGTTGGCGAGGGCGGGCCGGGCGAGGCGAGAGCTTGGACCCTCCCTCCCCGCGGACGAGGTCACACACTCATTAAATACAAACCATAACACCCAACACCTACAGTGCACGCAACGGCAGCACGGTCACTCCTCTCGAGGTGCCGCGAGTTATGCGAGTTGGCCGGGCAATTGGCTGATTGACCCAGCGCACTTTTGTAGTGTCGTGATAACCCTTTTTGAAGTAAGTTGAAGTTGAATAAGTCTGTACTGCATGCAGGCGTGTGCGGGCGGGTTCGCCTACCGTCCTGGCTGTCGCCGCTGACCCACAGGGCCGCAACTTACGGCCCCAAGCGGATAGACAACAAGCCGAGCGCCTGCACGCCGTACCGACGGTTCAAACTACAGAAGTGCGCGGGGTTAATCCACCAACTGATCTGGGTCATTATCTTCAACGAAATTGCAGGCAGACACCAAGTTCTGCTTGTCTTAAATGTTGCCAATACCAACTTTGACCCCCCCCCCCCATCTCCGTTTTGTGTGTGTTGGTTAGAGAGTTTTTTGGGGGGGGAGGGGCGCCACGTTGGAGAAAGGGCGGTCCACCCAGAGCCAGACGGTACGGATCACAGTAAAGGCGTGCGCGTGATGCGAGAAAGGCGTCTGCTACCAAAAGGCCTTTTCCTCTTCCCCACGCCGTGTTCGTGTGTGTGTGCGCGCGCACGTGTGCGTGTGTGTGTGTGTCCACACCAACCAGGCTCATCACGCCCAGGCGTGCAAGTTCACACCTACCGTGTAGCGCCCGGCCCACAGCTTCCCACAAAACAAGGCCGCATGTGCTTTTTGTTGTGTCTTTCATTCATTCTTTCGTTTCTTTTTTTAAAAAAACACCTTTCCCGCTTTGTCACGAGAAAGGGAATGCCCCCCCCCCCCTGCCCCTCGCCCTTGGCCCGTGCGAGGGAGAGAACGACAGAGTCCGCGCCTCTACTTTGCCTCGTCATCGGGAAATCGGCCAAGAGAGACAATTCGGCGGTCTCAAGACGCTTGAGAAAACAGTGAATAGAGATTCTACTCTTTTGCCATTAACAACGTCTTGAACCCCTTCGAAATGTCCAACTGACGGTACAATGTCGCCTTGCGAATCTCCAGTTCCACGGCTTCACCGAATCACTTCCCACTGCAGCCGTAGCCGAATGGTCCGGGGGACGCGGGCGCGCACTCACCCTGCTGGGGGCGTGCACCACCCCGTGGATCACGCCGAGGGCGCCGCCCGCTCCGTGGGCGTGGACCTTGGCGGGGCGCGGGGGCGGGCGGCGGCCGGCGGCGGGCAGCGGCTGCTGGTGCTGCTGCTGGTGCTGCTGCTGCACAGCCAGCCAGGGGTTGCTGGCGTTGCGCCGGCGCTTGCCTGGCGCCGTCGGGATGGTGGCCCAGGGCGACGGCGGCGCGGGCGCGCTCGGCGGGGGCAGCACGTACAGCATGACGGCTCAGGCCGGGCTCAGGCC